AGCCTGGCAAAGTGGCAACCCATCTCAGAGTTTAGTTTGCAGGCTCTGCGTAGACACACAGCGATGGCTGTGGACCTTGGCGTCTTTGATCCCTTTTGTAGATAGGGCCTTAGAGGAGTCAAAGCTAAGCAGTAGCTGGGCAGGCAGTCTGGGTTAAGGTTCTCCCCTTTTTGTAAGTTCACAGGGCTGTGTGAGCCCCAGTTTTATCAGCTGCTTCTGCTGGGTGACACTCTCCTACTAAGCCTTTGTGGTAACCTGATCTCAGTGCTCAAAGGCAGCACAGCATCATCCAGTGCCAGGAGATTGTCACATCTTTTATAAAGGAAGTGTTGATTCAACCCAGCCAGGAAGAGCCACCAAGAGTAAAAGGTCTCCAGAGATGGGATTGGGCCATTTAAGTTATTTACATTAGCGCTTGGCCTGGCACATGAGCCAGAGGCACTGTGTACTGGAAAAGAGAAGCGCTTTGATTTATTCATGGCCTTGTGAATGGATGCTCACACCTCTTCTCTTCCTTCTCACCTCCCTGTCCTCTCCATCCTTCTCTCACAGACTCAGTCTCTTTCCAGCCAGTCTAGGTTTATCTTTCAACAGCACATGAAAATCTTTTCTCCACTTGTCCTTGCGACACTGGTAGGGAAGTAAGGTCTGTCCTCCCTCATTTCTCTATGGTACTAGAATAAAGATCATCTCCTGGTCTAAAGTTCTAGAACCTGCGTTTAAAGGGCGTCAATGTTTGTCGATACATCGTGGGTCTCAATGACTGTTAAGGACTCATATTTGGAAAGTATCATGAACACAAATCTGTGGGGCAGTCTTTCCAAATCTTCCTCAGATCAGATAAACCATGAACACACAAACTGAGGATGACCCTGAACTCCTAATCCCCTCTGTGGAGGTATGGAAGAAAGTAGTGCCCAAAGGGAGTGGAACTATTAGGAGGCACAGTATTATGGAAAAGGTGTGCCTTGTTGGAGGAGGTGTGGCACTGTGAGGGAGGAGTTCGAGGTATCACATATGCGCAAGGCATGCCCAGTGAGACGGTTCACTTCCTGTTGCCTGCCAATCGGGATGTAGGACTCTGAACTCCAGCACCCTGTCTGCCTGCATGCTGCCATGTCCCACCATGAGGATAAAGGACCAAACCTCTGAAAGTGTCAGCTGCCACCTCAATTAAATGCTTTCCTTTGTAAGAGTTGCTATGGTCAAGTGCCTCTTCACAGCAAAAGAAACCCTCACTAAGACACCCCGTCTCCACCTCCTCTGTCCCAGGGTTACAAGTGTGTACTGTCATATCTAGTGGAATCCAAAGTCTTAAGCATTAAAGCTTTGTGACCCCTTTTGTGGGTGACAATTTAAAATCTAAATGGCACAAGTTTAGATAATATGGAATTTGTGAAAACACCAGTAGTGTCTGGTGTCAAAGCACATTATACATTCACATCAATTAGGTTTTAAAATTCTTGTTGAGACCCATGCTGGTTTTCAGTTTAATTTTTGAGAGTTACATTTTTCCCCACCTTTGCTAGCATATCCATAAGGCAATAGAATTAACATGGAATATTCGTAACAGTTTCATACTCAAATGATTATTCTGTGCACTAGTGTTGTCTTCATCCAAAATACTTGAAACTCCTTCCCTTGTTTTTATTCCCTTGCAGACTGAACCCCCAAAGCCATTTTGTATGGCTCCATCTTGCTTTGTTAGATGACATTCCTTTGTAGACACACACGTTCCTACAGCTCTTCTCTGTGTTTCTGTCCTCCCTCCTTTTCCATGGTGAGGCTTCATTTGAGATGTGTGGGGAGTCTGGGGTTCATCATACCAGCAGGTAAGTTCACATACTACAGATTGCACAGAAAAAGACATCACAGGGTAAAACATCCTTGTTACATGGGCCTGACGACTTGAACTCAATCCCTGGAACACACATAAAAGTGAGGGGGAGAACGGAGGTCACAAAATGTTTTCTGACCTCCACAGTTGGGTACATACACCCACCATACAATAATAATGATAATAATAATAATAATAATAATAATAATAGTAAATATCTAAAAGACATTGGCTATTTAAATCATTTTTCCCACTTAAAACTGCCAGAGTAAGCATGAGGATTCCTACAGTTTACTCTGAATACAGTATGACTGCGTGGAGCCTGTTCAGCCATCACTGGTTGCAGAGGAAACTGACTTGATCTTTCTGCTGTCTTCTGACAAACATGTATGTGTTCATGAGAATCATTATGAGTGCACGAATGCTTTCTCGTAGAGATATGTAATACCTCCCCTTTGGCTAAGATGAGGAATAATAGCCTGTACTGGTTCTAGAGAGTCAGCTGTTTAAAAATTACAAGCATGGTCTTCAAGTGTTTTGTGAGTCCGGGGAAATGATGCAGCTGCCGCCTTCTCTGCAGTATCTTGCACGGCCTGCTATGGTCCTACTCGCCTTCCTCCTCACAGCTGCTGCAGCCTCCTTTGGGGATCTACCCAGGGGAGTCTTATGGGAAGGTCTTCTGGTGTAGAATAGCTTTCTGTCCTGCATGGAAAGCCTGGGAGCTTTATGTGAGACAGTAAGGGAATGTGGATAGTAGGGGAGGCATTTGCTCCTGCAGGCACCTTGCACAGGGGACTATTTTTCTTATATGATATA